TATAGGGCTCTCACATCTTAGGTAATTATATCCCTGTCTTACTCCATAGCCCTTGCCTCATTCCCCTCGCCCTGATCCTCTTACATAGAGTAATTTCAGAAACACCTGGATGCCAGGCAGCCTGCTGATTGGCTGATCAATAAAGAGAAGTAAAAAGTGGGTGAAAGGAAAAGAATATGAAAAGTTAAAGTGGGTAAAATAACTGATCACACTAGTCAGATCAGCGATTCCTGTAAGCATTTCTTTTGGCCATTATGTTATTAGTGTTGATAATGAGAAGTAATGTTCATTGACTGACTGCTATATACTATGTGCATTTTTAGTACTTAACATCTGCTGTCTCATTTAATACTAAAACAATTTTCCGAAGTTGGTTGATAATATTATCCATATTTTATAGATGAAGAAATTGAGGCCCTAAGAGGTTGTCATTTTCTCAAAGTCATACAACTAGTAAGTGATAGAGCCTATATTCTAACTCATGCATTTGCCCAATTCCAAAGCCTTTTTTTTTTTTTTAATTGTGATTGGGGTGTAAGTTTAAAGAGCAAATTGATTTTCCATTTAGCAATTCATACACATTTTGTTTTGTCATACTGATTGTGCAGTGTAACTGCACTCTTCCCACTTCCCTGTGTTTACTGTTTCCATTTGTCCTTCTTTCCTGTCCCTTCCTACCTTCTGAGTTTTAATCCTAGGCAAATGCTGCCCTTTTGATCTCCTATGGTTGATTCTTCTAAGGGGTGTAAACCGCCCTGGTTTATTCTTCACCATAGAGGCCTGTCTACTCTGTTTGGCTAAAAGTTGAGCCATGGAGGTGATTTCAGGTCCAGGCTTGAAGGTTCATGGTTTGGACTAATTTTCCTTGTGTCTTTGATTTTCTGCACTATATGCTCTGGATTGGCAGAGCAGTAGTAGCACCTCAGATGGCTACTCACAAGTTTTTAGGACCCCAGTTTCTACTCACCAAGTAGTATGTAGAACATTGTCTTTGTGGACTTTGTTATGCCAGTTGACCACCTTGTCCCCCAAGATTATGGTCTTGAACCAAACCTTGCTTTCTTCATAGGCACCCAGACTACCCACTACCCTTTTAAGATTCAATAAACTTGAGAATGTTTACTTTAAAATGTCAGGTCCTACATTGTTATTCAAAATTTTTAAATGCTGAGTTAGTCCTAAGAGTCTTATGAATTAAGGGAGAGCAGAATCTTGACTCAATGAACTAGGTTGATTTTCTAAGTTAAAAGTATTGTGTGCTTGCTGTAAGAAGATATTTTTCCACTTAAACTTTAGATTTGGAAATTGCTGATTATACTTTTTCAAATGGAAAGATTTTTTCATTTTATCCTTATTTTACTTTAAAAGTTAACATGTAAAGCAAAGTGGTGAAATTGGGTTATGAATAATTCAACCATTATTACATTAACACATCTATAACCAAAACAA